AGGTCTGACCAATAGTGCAGAGGTCTGAGAACAAGGTGCAGAGGTCTGGGGACTAAGTGCAGAGGTCTGAGAACAGGGTGCAGAGGTCTGGGGACTAAGTGCAGAAGTCTGAGAACAAGGTGCAGAGGTCTGAGAACAAGGTGCAGAGGTCTGGGGACTAGTTCCAGTGGTCTGAGAACAAGGTGCAGAGGTCTGGGGACTAAGTGCAGAGGTCTGGGGACTAGGTGCAGAGGTCTGGGGACTAAGTGCAGAGGTCTGAGAACAAGGTGCAGAGGTCTGAGAACAAGGTGCAGAGGTCTGGGGACTAGGTGCAGAGGTCTGAGAACAGGGTGCAGAGGTCTGAGAACAAGGTGCAGAGGTTTGAGAACAAGGTGCAGAGGTCTGGGGACTAGTGCAGAGGTCTGGGGACTAAGTGCAGAGGTCTGAGAACAAGGTGCAGAGGTCTGGGGACTAAGTGCAGAGGTCTGAGAACAAGGTGCAGAGGTCTGGGGACTAAGTGCAGAGTTCTGGGGACTATGTGCAGAGATCTGGGGACTAAGTGCAGAGGTCTGGGGACCAAGTGCAGAGGTCTGAGAACAAGGTGCAGAGGACTGAGAACAAGGTGCAGAGGTCTGAGAACAAGGTGCAGAGGTCTGAGAACAAGGTGCAGAGGTCTGGGGACTAAGTGCAGAGGTCTGAGAACAAGGTGCAGAGGTCTGGGGACTAAGTGCAGAGGTCTGGGGACTAGTTGCAGAGGTCTGAGAACAAGGTGCAGAGGTCTGAGGACTAAGTGCAGAGTTCTGGGGACTAAGTGCAGAGGTCTGAGGACTAAGTGCAGAGGTCTGGGGACTAGTTGCAGAGGTCTGGGGACCAAGTGCAGAGGTCTGAGAACAAGGTGCAGAGGTCTGAGAACAAGGTGCAGAGGTCTGAGAACAAGGTGCAGAGGTCTGAGAACAAGGTGCAGAGGTCTGAGAACAAGGTGCAGAGGTCTGGGGACTAGTTGCAGAGGTCTGGGGACTAAGTGCAGAGGTCTGAGAACAAGGTGCAGAGGTCTGAGAACAAGGTGCAGAGGTCTGGGGACTAAGTGCAGAGGTCTGGGGACTAAGTGCAGAGGTCTGGGGACTAAGTGCAGAGGTCTGAGAACAAGGTGCAGAGGTCTGAGAACAAGGTGCAGAGGTCTGGGGACTAAGTGCAGAGGTCTGAGATCAAGGTGCAGAGGTCTGAGAACAAGGTGCAGAGGTCTGAGAACAAGGTGCAGAGGTCTGAGAACAAGGTGCAGAGGTCTGGGGACTAGTTCCAGAGGTCTGGGGACTAGTTGCAGAGGTCTGGGGACTAAGTGCAGAAGTCTGAGAACAAGGTGCAGAGGTCTGGGGACTAGTTGCAGAGGTCTGAGAACAAGGTGCAGAGGTCTGGGGACTAGTTGCAGAGGTCTGGGGACTAAGTGCAGAGGTCTGGGGACTAGGTGCAGAGGTCTGGGGACTAAGTGCAGAGGTCTGAGAACAAGGTGCAGAGGTCTGGGGACTAAGTGCAGAAGTCTGAGAACAAGGTGCAGAGGTCTGAGAACAAGGTGCAGAGGTCTGGGGACTAGTTGCAGAGGTCTGAGAACAAGGTGCAGAGGTCTGACTACTAAGTGCAGAGGTCTGACTACTAAGTGCAGAGGTCTGGGGACTAAGTGCAGAGGTCTGGGGACTAAGTGCAGAGGTCTGGGGACTAAGTGCAGAGGTCTGACGACTAAGTGCAGAGGTCTGACAACAAGGTGCAGAGGTCTGAGGACTAAGTGCAGAGGTCTGAGGACTAAGTGCAGAGGTCTGGGGACTAAGTGCAGAGGTCTGAGATCAAGGTGCAGAGGTCTGGGGACTAAGTGCAGAGGTCTGAGAACAGGGTGCAGAGGTCTGGGGACTAAGTGCAGAAGTCTGAGAACAAGGTGCAGAGGTCTGGGGACTAGTTGCAGAGGTCTGAGAACAAGGTGCAGAGGTCTGGGGACTAAGTGCAGAGGTCTGGGGACTAGTTGCAGAGGTCTGGGGACTAAGTGCAGAGGTCTGAGAACAAGGTGCAGAGGTCTGAGAACAAGGTGCAGAGGTCTGGGGACTAGGTGCAGAGGTCTGAGAACAGGGTGCAGAGGCCTGAGAACAAGGTGCAGAGGTCTGAGAACAAGGTGCAGAGGTCTGGGGACTAGGTGCAGAGGTCTGGGGACTAGGTGCAGAGGTCTGGGGACTAGGTGCAGAGGTCTGGGGACTAAGTGCAGAGGTCTGGGGACTAGTTGCAGAGGTCTGGGGACTAAGTGCAGAGGTCTGAGAACAAGGTGCAGAGGTCTGACTACTAAGTGCAGAGGTCTGAGGACTAAGTGCAGAGGTCTGACTACTAAGTGCAGAGGTCTGACGACTAAGTGCAGAGGTCTGACGACTAAGTGCAGAGGTCTGACAACAAGGTGCAGAGGTCTGAGGACTAAGTGCAGAGGTCTGAGGACTAAGTGCAGAGGTCTGAGGACTAAGTGCAGAGGTCTAAGGACTAGTTGCAGAGGTCTGAGAACAAGGTGCAGAGGTCTGACTACTAAGTGCAGAGGTCTGGGGACTAGTTGCAGAGGTCTGAGAACAAGGTCCAGAGGTCTGACTACTAAGTGCAGAGGTCTGGGGACTAAGTGCAGAGGTCTGGGGACCAAGTGCAGAGGTCTGGGGACCAAGTGCCGAGGTCTGAGGACTAAGTGCCGAGGTCTGAGGACTAAGTGCCGAGGTCTGGGGACTAGTTGCAGAGGTCTGAGAACAGGGTGCAGAGGTCTGAGAACAAGGTGTAGAGGTCTGAGAACAAGGTGCAGAGGTCTGGGGACTAGTTGCAGAGGTCTGAGAACAAGGTGCAGAGGTCTGGGGACTAAGTGCAGAGGTCTGGGGACTAAGTGCAGAGGTCTGGGGACTAAGTGCAGAGGTCTGGGGACTAAGTGCAGAGGTCTGAGATCAAGGTGCAGAGGTCTGAGAACAAGGTCCAGAGGTCTGACCAATAAGTGCAGAGGTCTGAGAACAAGGTGCAGAGGTCTGGGGACTAAGTGCAGAGGTCTGAGAACAGGGTGCAGAGGTCTGGGGACTAAGTGCAGAAGTCTGAGAACAAGGTGCAGAGGTCTGAGAACAAGGTGCAGAGGTCTGGGGACTAGTTCCAGTGGTCTGAGAACAAGGTGCAGAGGTCTGGGGACTAAGTGCAGAGGTCTGGGGACTAGGTGCAGAGGTCTGGGGACTAAGTGCAGAGGTCTGAGAACAAGGTGCAGAGGTCTGAGAACAAGGTGCAGAGGTCTGGGGACTAGGTGCAGAGGTCTGAGAACAGGGTGCAGAGGTCTGAGAACAAGGTGCAGAGGTTTGAGAACAAGGTGCAGAGGTCTGGGGACTAGTTGCAGAGGTCTGGGGACTAAGTGCAGAGGTCTGAGAACAAGGTGCAGAGGTCTGGGGACTAAGTGCAGAGGTCTGAGAACAAGGTGCAGAGGTCTGGGGACTAAGTGCAGAGTTCTGGGGACTATGTGCAGAGATCTGGGGACTAAGTGCAGAGGTCTGGGGACCAAGTGCAGAGGTCTGAGAACAAGGTGCAGAGGACTGAGAACAAGGTGCAGAGGTCTGAGAACAAGGTGCAGAGGTCTGAGAACAAGGTGCAGAGGTCTGGGGACTAAGTGCAGAGGTCTGAGAACAAGGTGCAGAGGTCTGGGGACTAAGTGCAGAGGTCTGGGGACTAGTTGCAGAGGTCTGAGAACAAGGTGCAGAGGTCTGACTACTAAGTGCAGAGGTCTGTGGACTAAGTGCAGAGGTCTGGGGACTAGTTGCAGAGGTCTGAGAACAAGGTGCAGAGGTCTGGGGACTAAGTGCAGAGGTCTGAGATCAAGGTGCAGAGGTCTGAGAACAAGGTCCAGAGGTCTGACTACTAAGTGCAGAGGTCTGAGAACAAGGTGCAGAGGTCTGGGGACTAAGTGCAGAGGTCTGAGAACAAGGTCCAGAGGTCTGGGGACTAAGTGCAGAGGTCTAAGGACTAGTTGCAGAGGTCTGACTACTAAGTGCAGAGGTCTGGGACTAGTTGCAGAGGTCTGAGAACAAGGTGCAGAGGTCTGACTACTAAGTGCAGAGGTCTGGGGACTAAGTGCAGAGGTCTGGGGACTAAGTGCAGAGGTCTGAGAACAAGGTGCAGAGGTCTGAGGACTAAGTGCAGAGGTCTGAGGACTAAGTGCAGAGGTCTGGGGACTAAGTGCAGAGGTCTGAGAACAAGGTGTAGAGGTCTGAGGACTAAGTGCAGAGGTCTGAGAACAAGGTGCAGAGGTCTTGGGACTAAGTGCAGAGGTCTGGGGACTAAGTGCAGAGGTCTGGGGACTAAGTGCAGAGGTCGGAGAACAAGGTGCAGAGGTCTGAGATCAAGTTGCAGAGGTCTGGGGACTAAGTGCAGAGGTCTGAGAACGAGGTGCAGAGGTCTGGGGACTAAGTGCAGAGGTCTGAGAACAAGGTGCAGAGGTCTGGGGACTAAGTGCAGAGGT